AATTAAAAAGAAAGAAGATAACGATTGCCATTGCATTTAAATTTTTGTATATTGAAGCTGGGTGGTAAGCAAGAAGCCAGAAGAGAGTTCCATTTCAAGTCTCTTCATCTGTGAGATAATCCAGCCTTATAGGAGTACCTATATTACATAACAGTTCAGTACTATTTTCTTTGTTTCCAACGAAATTTTCCTGTTTCTTCTTTGCTTCACTTTTGGAAGGCATCTTTCGTTATCCCTTTGCATCTTCGGATTTCGGTGTCACATTTTCATACTCTGTTAATTTTGGTGTATCCAATTTGTAATTTGCGATATTGTGACAAGAACAACGGCTCACCATTCCTCTTTACAGAATTTACAGTAGAAGACTCTTCCCATCGTTTAGGGAATTTTATCGTTATGCATATGAAAATCTCGATTTTAATCATTTCACTCCAAGTAAAACAATAACGTCAATAAGAAATAAGGAATTACTGAGTGTGAAAGAATATATGGAAATAGAAAAAATATTATTAAGGAGCGAGAACAGTAAAAGAAGAGGAATTAAGAAGAATATAACGATTGACATTGCATTTAAATTTTTGAAGATCAAATCTGACTGGAAAGCAAGGGGTTGAATGTGAGTTTCACAAGTGAAAAAAGAGATTAAGACTGTAATGATCGGGAAAACAACATATTGAGAGTTTGTTTCATAAAGTTTCAGTTCTAGGCAAGAAGCTAATCAAGTGAAACTTCTTCATTACTAATGAAATATGAAAGGAATGAGGATGATACATCTCTGTGTATGTGGTAAGGTGGGTCATAGCTGCAAACACCATTTTATTATTCTAATGGACTCATAAAAACATTCACAAACAGTTAAATATTAATAGTTTTATTAGAAATTTTAAAGAAATATAAACAAACCAAGTAAACAAAAAAAGTATGTGTACAATGAATACTAAATTTTGCTTAGATTGTATACTTACATGAATATACAAAATCATTAATCATGTTCATATCTATTTTCGAAATGAAAGATTGAATGATATGACGATTCAGTTCAAGACTACACGTCAAGGACACCCCAACCTCTCTCCCACAGGTGAATGTTGCAAGCCTATCAGAAAGTACTCGAACGAAATACATTCTGTGGGGTCCCGCTAATTCAAACCTTCACGGTAAGGAGACGCCATACCACTTACATAGTAGCAAACCACCCACATTCCATTGGTATTCCATTGGTGTGAAGTAAGTTCCACTTGAACAGGTTCTTCTCGCGAACCACTGCCCTGTGGAATCAGCTTCCAAGAGGATGTTTCCTCGATCACTACAATTTTAACCTGTTCAAAGCTTGGGTTAACCGTTATTGTCCACTCCTATATGCACAAATGCCCGCCGTCTACTTCGAGTTGTTCCAGGGCCTTGTAAAAAGTGAACCTTACTGTAAAAAAGAAATGGATTCAGAATTACTTTAGTTTAATACAAAACTGAACATTTATGTGAAAATTACATTTTAATTAATACTTAAAATAAAATAAAGATATCCTTAAATTTAAAATCAACTGTATCTGTCAATATCTATTGCTTAAACACTGAGCTGATCTTTCTTTTAGCATTGTTCATGGTTTCTAGTTAATTTAAAATACAATTGGTCACGCACGCACACACACACACACGCGCGCGCACACACACACACACACGCACACACACACAGACAGAAGATGCAATGGTAAATCGTCGCCATTTTATATTTTTAATTTCGCGCTTTGTTTGCTTTTGATTATTGTTGACTGCACAGCATAGTAATGTCTGTTAGGCACCATCCGTGAGAAACAGAGCACTATAATGCAATTCACTCCGCTAGAAATTTACAAACGGCATGCTGTACTGCTTGGAATTCGCGCCGGAAGCTCCAATACGAAAATTTCAGAGTGTTTGTGTATGAATCTGAGGACAGTCCAGAGGACTCGGAAAGAGTTGGATGAGTTTAATGGTGATTACGAAGGTGTTTATAGTGATCACTAGTGATGGTGACGTTATGCCTCCATTCATCTTCCCACAGCGCCACAGACTCAACTCGGAGGCCTACATCAAGTGCCTTGATGAGGTCGTGATGCCCCTGATCAAAAGGGTGGCTGCTGGAAGACAATGTCTGGCAACATGCCACACTAGCAGGAGAACCCAGTCATGGCTGTCAGACAATTTCTGTGACCATATCACACCTAATATCTGGCCACATAGCTCTCCAAGCAGCAACTCCCTTTACTATTATTAGTGGAGCATAGACCAACAAAACTCCTTGTAACACCAAAGATGAATTGAAAGTAAGGATTACGGTAGGATTCACCAACTTAAACAAGGAGACCATCCAGTAGAATTGCATAGGATACTGAAGTCATCTGGAGGCCGTTGTTGAAGCCAGTGGCAATTTTATTGAATAAATTTACTCTTTAGTATTTCAAAATATCTTTGTGTAAGGATAAAACCTCTACTCCTGTTCAAAAGACCGCCGAGGAGTGTGAACCTATCTACTCGTATTGATAAAAGAAAAAGTAATTCAATAGTAAATAAAAGTTCAGAGTTTTAGGAGGAGATGTTAGAAGTATAGAGTTGAAATAGACTTTAGAAAGAACTGGAAACTCAATCCTAAAGAGGAAACAAGGGATAAACCTACTACTCCTGTTCAAAAGACCGAAGAGGAGTGTGAACCTATCTACTCGTATTGATAAAAGAAAAAGTAATTCAATAGTAAATAAAAGTTCAGAGTTTTAGGAGGAGATGTTAGAAGTATAGAGTTGAAATAGACTTTAGAAAGAACTGGAAACTCAATCCTAAAGAGGAAACAAGGATAAACCTACTACTCCTGTTCAAAAGACCGAAGAGGAGTGTGAACCTATCTACTCGTATTGATAAAAGAAAAAGTAATTCAATAGTAAATAAAAGTTCAGAGTTTTAGGAGGAGATGTTAGAAGTATAGAGTTGAAGTAGACTTTAGAAGGAACTGGAAACCCAATCCTAAAGAGGAAACAAGGGATAAACCTTCTACTCCTGTTCAAAAGACCATAGTGGAGTGTGAACCTATCTACTCGTATTGATGAAAGAAAAAGTAATTCAATAGTAAATAAAAGTTCAGAGTTTTAGGAGGAGATGTTAGAAGTATAGAGTTGAAGTAGACTTTAGAAGGAACTGGAAACCCAATCCTAAAGAGGAAACAAGGGATAAACCTTCTACTCCTGTTCAGAAGACCATAGAGCAGTGTGAACCTATCTACTCTTATTCAAGAAAGAAAAGTAAATTAATAGAAAATAAAACTATTATACATAGCCGTTGTTTTAATTTGTGATGTTGATTGTAGATCTAATTATGTTTTATGTTATTTATAGCTTAACGTATACGACACGACTTTAGTTTAGTTTTAAGATGTTATTATTTTGAAGTTCCAGTTCAATTTTTCTTGCATTGTCGAAAATCGTCTTTATTTTCTCCCAGCTCTTCTGTACTGAATTTAAATTTGTCTAATACATTAAATTTGTCTAATACATTAGACGTTAGAATAATACAATAGACCTACTCATAATGCACCATTAACCAGCATATATAAAGAGTCGAACCAAAACACAACTGCGTTTAAAGATGAAACAAACTGTCACCATGTGTGTTGACCTCATTTTCCACTTGATCAATAGGTTCATATCTATTTTCGAAATGAAAGATTGAATATATATATATATATATATATATATATATATATATATATATATATATATTTCTTCTGCAGCATGCTCACATTTCAATATACATTAGTATTTATACAATTTCATTTGCGTATATTTATTCAGTATTGTATAAGTAAACATAACATATTTATTATATATACTTAAAGGTAATGTAAAAGGTGAAATAGATTTTCGCATATAAGGAAACATTTGGCATTCAGTAACGGGACGGTTAGTATTACAGTTGGCGGAAATTTAAAAATATTTCTTTTGAAACAGTTTTCCAGGATTTTAGACTTCTTGACTGCCATCACACATTTTAGTACTGATGGAGATCTCCTTCCATATATTTTAAGTAAATGTTTAAATAAATATTCAAATACTTAAATAAACTTTAGAATTCGGGAAATAATGTGAATTAGACGATTCTCAAAAATGACTTTGAGGGGAATTATTTTGACAGTACTCCCTCAAAATATTATTTATCTTCTTCTTCTTCTTCTTCTTCTTCTTCTTCTTCTTCTTCTTCTATATATTATTCTTATATTCTTCTTCTTCTTCTTCTTCTTCTTCTTCTTCTTCTTCTTCTTCTTCTAGCTGTCTCACTTTAGGATGTGAGCGATTATGGTTCTCTACAATTTCCAGTCCTTTATAGCTTTTAATAAATTTTATTATTTCGCTATTTCTCTTAACCCCTGTTATGCCAAAAATTTACACAAGCTCGTTAGGTAGGTTAAACTTTGTTTTTTCTCTGTTCCTCTTGCCTCCAGTATGTCTTGTGAGCATCAGATTCTCCAAGCCTTCTTTCCTTATTATGTGCCCTAGAAATTTCAAATGTGTCTTTCTAATTCTAAGTCTAACTTTTCCCTTAAAACTTCATCTTTGCTCACATCTTCAATTCATGAGTATCTTTCCGTAGAACTAAATTTCTGTTGTTTCATGTTTCTTCTTCATCTGTGATAAAACTGTCCGGTATTCACCGTACAGATATCACATAAAAGTTCAGTACTCTTTTCTTTTCTATGTAGAGTTTACACAAATAGAATTTGCGGTGCCTTTTTGATTAAATGATAATTTTAGTCGTGATAAAGTAATAATATTTAATTATTTTCATTTTGTCTTTAGTATACAGGGTGTCCATAAAGTTCGTGTGCACTTTTAAAATTTATAACTTTATTTGTATTTGCGATAGAAATAATCTGTAAAAAATGTTATAAAGTTTAATGTACCTAGTTTTAAGTATAGCTAAAATAACTAATGTGATTTCAGGCATTACTGTAAATGAGTTGACAAATGTTTTCCGTGAACTGCAAAATCGTATTACCCTTTGTATTGCTAATGATGGAGGACATGTAGAAACTTAAATAAAATTTCAATAAAACCTTAAAAAATATAGATTTACTTCTTTCTAATCCTTTTTACAAAATATTTCTATCGTAAATACAAATAAAGTTATAAATTTTTAAAGTGCACACGAACTTTATGGACACCTTGTATTTCTTGGAAAATAAAACATGAAATGAAAAAAATTACATTCATTTTTAGACAATTTTGAATTCATTGTGCTTTTCATTAAATTTATGACTAAACTATTTACATTGTTCGGACTGTTGTCCTCATCTTTGTTTCCATATTCACGACGTTTCGGACGTTCTACGCTTCGGCATTCTTCAGGTGATTGGAATTTCGAACGGAACCATTTATTTCGTCCACCAGGTCCACCAGGTAGATCGTTCTAATTCCACGTGCTATGCCTCTTCTGATTGTCTCAATATCAATTATGTCACTGTAACTCAACTCACAAGCTTTTGTTCACCACTGCAGTAGCTAGGTATTGACCTCACAACACTTTGATTCAACCAACGCCTTTTATCTACTGCGATATGTGTCCTTGAGGACAAAAGTCCGAACAATGTAAATAGTGTAAATAACTACAATACCTCATCTCAGAAACATAGACAGACTAGCAGTATAACCCGCCTTCGACCGGGTGTTTCATTACTGGGAATTTTTGCCGTTCAATTGGAGCAGTTTAAGTTCAAGCCCACCTGAAAATCAATATTAGTAACAATAATTGGGTGCAACTGAAGCACATCCCCAAATGGGGGGTTAATAATTTGAATGGTGGGGGGCATAAAAAGGGCACGTTTTTGCGTTCTCAATTTTGCAAAGAAGGAACCTCTTTTATGGACCGTCCTAATAATAATATATGATAATTTGTATTTATATATATTTTTTATAATTCTTTTGCGTTAGATTTCAACTCTCTAAATTGATTGTATGCTGTTTTTACAGACATTAAATTTTGCTTTTGATTTTTGCGCAAAGTGTAAACGGATAAACAACATTCGATCACACACACATGCATACACATCTGGAGAATTATAGATATAAACAGAATATTTTGTATTTTAATTATTTAAACTCTAATCTGTTTATTATAGATTATGTAAGTTAAAGGAGAATAGATAAATCCAATTAAACCTTAAAATATATTACGATATATGTATATGAGTAAAATAAGAAAATTCTAATATTTTTTATAAATCTTCCGCTAATATTTTCGTATCAGTACAAAGCTTAAGAATGTTTTGCTTGGTTTAACTTCTTTCAGTTGAAGTCTTTCAGCAGTTCCAGCAATTTACTAAAATCGATAGCACATATAACTCGACGAGAAAATAATAATATGATCAAGAGTTTGATTTTTCACCCTACTTTAAGTAAAAGATGAGGAGGAAAACACTTATCAGTACTAGAAAGAGCAGTAACGGTTAGTGAACTTAAGCAGTCTAATTTCCTGAAAACTTTTTTAAGAGAAAAAAGATAATAATTTTCAACCGATAATGATGCTACATATTCAATGAATGAATGCTGAATGTTTTCTTATAAGGAAACAGCTAATTTCGACATTTTGTAGATTATAATAAAATACATATTAAATTCAATTGTTAATCAGAAATTTACTAGCTCCAAACATTCTCAGCAAAGCCAGTATTGAATACATATACTTTAAACTTGTGATATCTATAATCCAGATCACATTCTTCACCAGTCATTTGAACAGGAGAAGAGGTATATAATAGCATCCCAAACTTCCAGGAACCGGCTCTATAAAGTCAGGTAATCTGTAGTAACCTATTCTGTTTATTTTCTTTTTCAGTCGAAGAATGGAAACAAATCACAAACCAAGTAACAAATAGTATCAAAAAGAATTAAACCATTTTGATAATTTAATAGAAAACATTTAAGATATTTACTGATTCAAATTCTGTTCTCATCATCTTTCTGTTCAGAAGTCTGATGCTTTTTGACTCTAGTGTCATCAGTTGTGTTATAGTTTCTTAGCCACATTCAAACTGAATCATTGCAGTTCCAAAGACTGAATGGAAGACCTATTAAATTTATGACTAGAAGATTTGCCACATTTTTAACTTCAAAACGGTAAGGGTCGTCTGTTTATCAGAATTTAACTAAGCGCATACGCGATCGTAGCGTAGCGAAACTAACATTTTATCTAGAACATTGGCTATTACTATATAAGATTATTTTCGGATAATCCAACTATCGGTTCACTACGCTTAGATGATTTTAAGAATCGGTTCACGTGAACCGGTAGGATGTCGCCACTGAGTAGAGGTTTCTCCCTTGTTTCCTGTTCAGGACTGTGATTCTGGTCTCATCTAAAGTCTCCTATTCTCTTTTCATCCCAGTAGACATTTATCGTGTTGCTTTGGGGTGAACTAATCTATCTATCTATCTATCTATCTATCTATCTATCTATCTATCTATCTATCTATCTATCTATGTAATTAGCATATACACTGCGTGCCAAATTATTATCAAGATAACTTTTTTTCTAATATTTCCAAAACCGTCCAATCTATTCACACAAAGTTTTCACACAATGTTGGCAACACTGAGCTGCGAAATCACTGAAACTTTCGTACTGATCTACGCAATGTAAACAAACTGGCGCCATATTTGTTATCAGCACGGTGATTTGATCGTGCCAAATTATTAGAAAGGTTTAGTAAAATTCCCAGAATTGAGCAAACGAAACGTTTATTAATGTTGAACGTAAATGTTTATGATCAAAAGAAGCTAATAAATAAGATAATCAAACAAATAATAACAGATACAAACAAAGGCACAGTTTTAAACAAATTAATAGGGAATATGCTTTCTCTGTTTTGAAATTACTTGAAAAAGTCGACGATCCATAGAATTTGTTAATTGTAGGATGTCATTTGCTGTAATGCCGCAAGATATGTCAAGAATTGCTTTCCACGACTCAGCGTTGCTCCTGAATTGTCGTCTGTTGGCGTACAATCTTCGCTTCATGATGCTCCAAAGCTTTTCGATTGGGTTCAAATCCGGAGAATTTGCTGGCCACTTCATTTTTCGAGGTCCATCGAAGCCTAACTGTTTCAAATATTCAGTGGTCTTGTGAGCAGCGTGTGAGGGAGCATTATCTTTCATAAAAAACAATGGACCTTCTGAAGGCAACTCTTTGCCTTTTCATCCTCGGCTCAAGATGCTCCTTTATAAACGCTATGTATACATCAGCAGTCATTTTGACGTCATCTGGTACTCTCCATGGGCCCACTAATGTGTTTCCAATAATACCACCCCAGATCATTATGCCTCCACCACCTTGTTGGTGTCTCAAACGCTGATGGCGATTCTGTCCGTTCATTACCCAGGCTTTGCACCATCTATCTGGCCCATCAAGTGTTGCTCAAGTTTCGTCTGTGAACAAAACTTTAGAGAAGTCAATCTTCATATTGTCCTCGGCCCATTTCAATCGATTGTGAATGTGATTTCTCGTCAACGGAGGCTTCGATACAGGTTTGACTGTTGTTGCTATTTCCCTCAGATACCGATACCGAGTAGGATCCCCAATACGACTGAAAAGCTCTTGACTGGTAAGTCCGGGGTTCTTCGTGCTCTCTCGTTTAAGTCGTGACATGAGACGACGTGAAATAACCTTCGGCTTGCTTTATATGCCCTTTTGCGTACTTGTGTAGAGTTAGCGGTGAATTTTTCACTGTTTGATGACACTTCCCTATCATTTTAAAAATTTCTAGGGTAGATTTACGTTTTGAGAGTTTTGAGCTAATAGTTTTCTTTTAAGCATCACTTAAACTGCTTTTACGCCCCATCTTTTCAGTAAATTATTATACTTCTCTAATAATTTGGCACGCCCAAATCACCGTGCTGATAATAAATATGGCGCCATTTTTTTTTCATTGCGCATATCAGTACGAAAATTCTAGTGATTGCGCAGCTCAGTGTTGCCAACATTGTGTGAAAATTTTGTGTGAATTGATTGAACAGTTTTGGAAATATTAGAAAAAAGTTATCTTGATAATAATTTGGCACGCAGTGTATATATGTAATAGAATATATATATGTAATATATATATAATATATATATATATATATATATATATATATATATATATATATATATATATATATATATATATATATATATATATATATATATATATATATATATATGTGCGTGTGTGTGTGTGTAATTAGAATATATGTATAGTAGTATTTTTTACTCTTTTGTGTTATTACATTGCAACTAGGATGTCCTTGAGTGAAAATACTTCCTTGATTATCCGGACCTTGATTATCTGAATGTGAAATGAAGTGAACAGTGAAATCATCCGAACATTTTTTAGTTATTCGAATTAAACCCGTTCTTTTTTTTTTCTTTTTTTTTAGATATCAACAAGCGTTTTGAGAATTTAGACAACATTCAAAATTTCAATTTCAAACACCAAAGTGATATGTTTGACAAATATTAAAGTTTCAACCAGAAGTTCCTCTTACATATACGTTTGTTTTGATCCAGTTTCTGGAGTTAGAAGCAGGAAAACATGAAGCCATCGTGAAAGAGAAAAAAAATGGCGCATATTTTCATGAAAAATAATTTGACAAATCCTTCAAAAAAGCTTTTGAAAATATAACCTGATAATGTAAATGTAAAATTTATTTCAGAAAATTACTTTTTCTTTCTTCTTTTTCGATAATTTAGCTATTCAGTGATCCAGAATTTTTAAATTATCGGAAAATATATTTTTTATTCCAAGTTGTCCGGATAATCGAGAAAATATTGTATTTTAATGTAAATTTGAATTATCCGAAAATATTTTTTTATTTCAAGGTGTCCGGATAATAAAGGAAATATTGTATCTTAATGAAAGTTTGAATTATCCGAAAATATTTTTTAATTCCAAGATGAATCGAGGAAATATTTTATCTTAATTTAAATTTTCACGTACACAATTGTTAGAAAGTGAAACGCAGAGGGTTGTGGTAGTTCTTTAAGCGTAGCTTAGAAGTAGTACAGGGTCGAATGTAATGGTACCCAGTGAGGATCGAACTCACTATTCAGTGGTAATTGGTCAAGTGAAACAAGCTTGCTATGCAGTACGCCACACCAAAGTGCTTTGAATCACATAGGGATGTATTCAGCGGCATATCTAACATTTGACACCGTTCTGAACAACATGCAATAATTGGTATACATTTGTTGACTTACAGCCGTACCACGTTCAGCAACATTGAAACGTTCAGTGCCAAGTTGGGTGACTGTTTGGGAATACTAAGTGCTGTAAGCTTGGATGTGCGGCTGGTGTAATAAATAAGAAGGCACGGAATGAGAAATCAGAGGACCGGTTTCATGTCCATTTACCTGCAAATACCCTTGGGAAATGTATGAATCCACATCTCCTCCTCCCAGCTATGAGTTAAATAGTACGATTTGTATCAGAAACTTATTATCTCCAGAAACATTCTTACAATCCAAAAATATGTTTCGGCTTTGAGTAACCTCAGATAAGTTCATAAGCCGTAAGAAAGACCAAATCCATCAAAGGATGACATCTATAACATATAAAGGAATATTTTAATTACGGTCTGTAATTTTGATTACAGGCAAAAAAATGAATCAGTAACAAAAATAAATGCGGTAATTTTAAAAGTTACTTTCTCTAGTCTTCCTTTCCGCAAAAGCTTGAACCGCAACATGAAGATCTATTTTTTTACGGCAAGATCATTGCTCAGTGAAACGTATTGCCAGATCAGAGAGTTTTGTTTGACTCATTGCTGCTGGGAGAGTGTTGCTTTTGCTGTTAATGCTTAAAACGAATATCAAAAGTCTTAATTATTAATATAAGAGTTTATCCCTGCCCTCAAAAAAGTTACAGCAGAGAACATACATAAATAAAATAAAAAGATGGAAAACATATTAAAAAAGTAATTATGGGAAAGCTTTTTTTAAGTCAGTCACTTAGCTAAGAGCCATACGTGATACACGCTTGGGCGATCATGTATCTTTCGATTCAGTAGATTGCTGTTTCTTCGTGCGGTAGACTGGTTGCCAACCAACGCTATAGGGCCTAATCTGTCCTGCTAGTCAACCCATAGCTTTCGGGAGGTAGAGGGTGAAAAGAGACGGTTTCTCAACAGTATTTGCACGTAAGTTACAGCAAACAACTCAACTGGTATTCGAACTCGGCTCTCCAATTTCTCATTCGGAGCCTATATTCATTACACCACAACGTACATTTATTTTAAAGTAAATAACCATTTTTAGGATAATATCTTATTACATTAAAAATATAGGCACTATGAAAAAAAAATTCCTAACAGTAACTGACTCATATAGTATAAGCCTAAAAATAAATGTTCAGTGCATTATTATTATTATTCTCTGCGTTGTGTCACTTCAAATAGTGGGTCACCAAGGCCCTCAACAACTTCTTATCCTTTTTAACTCTTTGTGAGGTTTATCTTTTTATAATTTGTTCTAATCTTTGTTCTGTAAGCCGTTTAAACAGGATCGTTAGCTAGGTCATCCACTGTATGTCTACGCTCCATTTTGCCTTCAATATGTCCTGTGCGTGTCAAATTCTCCAAGCCCTCTGTCATTTTCTGATTTTTCTTACAGTAAGGTTCACTCTTTGCAAGGACCTCTAGGTAGACGGTTACGTTAAGAGGCAATATTTGCTGATAGGAGTGGAAGATAACAGTTAACCCTAGTCTTGAATAGGTTAAGATTTCCGTGGGAACACCTATTTGGGAGTCTGTTCTCCTGGGCAGTGGTTCGCAGGAAGAAGCTGTTCGAGTTGAACTTACTTCTCACCAATGGGTAGTTTATATGGATAGGAGGGGAAGATAACGGTTAACTCTAGACTTGAACAGATTAAGATTGTAGTGATTGGGGAAACATCCTCTTGGGAGTCTCTTCCCTGGGCAGTGGTTCGCTGAAGCTGTTCCTTACTTCTCACCAATGGGCAGTTTATTCGGATGGGAGGAAGATAACGGTTAACTCTAGACTTGAACAGGTTAAGATTGTAGTGATTGGGGAAACATCCTCTTGGGAGTCTGTTCCCCTGGGCAGTGGTTCCAAGAAGCTGTTCAAGTGGAACTTACTTCACCAATGGGTAGATTTATATGGATAGGGGGAGATAACGGTTAACTCTAGACTTGAACAGGTTAAGATTGTAGTGATTAGGGAAACATCCTCTTGGGAGTCTGTTCTCCTGGGCAGTGGTTCGCCGGAAGAAGCTGTTTGAGTGGAACTTACTTCTCACCAATGGGTAGTTTATATGGATAGGAGGGGAAGATAACGGTTAACTCTAGACTTGAACAGGTTAAGATTGTAGTGATTGGGGAAACATCCTCTTGGGAGTCTCTTCCCCTGGGCAGTGGTTCGCGGGATGAAGCTGTTCGAGTGGAACTTACTTCTCACCAATGGGTAGTTTATATGGATAGGAGGGGAAG